CGGCGGCAGCAGCGCTCACGCCCCGACCCGTCCTTCCCGTTCCGTGCAGGGGACCTCGTCTTGGACGGCTCCAGCACGCTGACGCTGCTCACCCCCACCCTGCAGCACCTCACGCAGGTCTTTGAGCAGCATCTGGGCTCCCGTAACCAGAACCGCGGCTTCGTGGCCCTGCCCTCGCACCCCGCCGAGACCGCCGCCATCCTCCAGGCACAGTTCCTCTTCGACGTCCTGCAGAAGACTCACTCCTTGAAGGTCCGTACGTGCTGGGGCCGGGGGCACCGTAGGCCTGGCCAGTGCTGGTGGTGGGCACGGCTGCCTGCTTCAGTGTGCCCACTGGCCCCGTCCTGCGTGCGTGCTATGTGGGTCAGACAGCTGCCATAGGACTGTTGTGTGGAGCCCTAGTTCGGCGTGATAACGTGTAGGCACTCCAGCTGGGGTCAGCCACGCAACTCAGCAGAAAGTTTTCTCAGGGTTAAAAACAGGGGCAGCAGGGCTTAATTATGTTCTGACCTTGGTGAGGTGTTGACGTTGTTGGGAAAGCGATTATTTCCTGGAACGACTGAGCAATTTAGGGTATCTGGCAGCTGAGTGCAGCTGACTGTTCCCTGAATGATGATTGATCTGCATGAGGCAGCAGAGCCAGGAGGTTTGAGCAGGGCAGTTAGACATGTACACCCACTACTCTGAGACCTGCTTCTTACTTCTGAGTTCTACATGTTCCTACCCAGGCAGTGGTTCTGGCTGATCCGTTTCACAGCATGAGATATTGCTAATAATGTGTCCTCGTTAATTTTAAGAAGGCTATAACAATGATAAAAGTATGGAGCTAGGGATTCTTCAGAGGGCTCTTTGAAAGGAGGCATGTGCTACATGGTTATGCATGGCACAGAGGCACTGCTAGGAGGCCAGCAGAGGCGAAATGGGCCTGAAAAGGGAAGGGAATTGGCACCTGTTTTTAGGTTCTGCAGTGATGCTCGGGAGGTGTGGCTGAGCACTAGGCCTGCGATGTCTTTAAAAGAGTTTTCTGCATGAGATAGGTTGGAGAAATGATCTGAATGTTGCTGAGAGGGTTTTGTAGTGGTGTGTTGAGGGTGGAGATTGGAGTGGGGATTGTGGAGAAACATGGGTCCCCTGTCAGGAGGAGGCAGGAGGGATGCTGCAGTCAGGAGCATGTTGTGGTGAGTACTTGTGTTAACCAAAAAATGGACTCCTTCTGTGAAAAGCCTGTAAAGAAAGGGAAGCTAGCTGTTCTGGTGTGGTAACAGGTTTGCTTGAGGAAGCCAATTTGTATCAGCCTGGTCAGATTCTTAGGGCAGTGGAGGGAGAGGAGTTGGTCAGGACACAGAGCAGGGTTGCCATCTGAAATAAACTTTGGTAAAACTGATCATCAGAGCTTCCCAGTGCGAGCTTCCCCTGCAGCTGATCCTGCTCATCACGGTGCGTTAGTGCTGGCAGGCAGCGGGCAGTGATCCGTCGCCACCAGGGCTGCAGTTGTGGCAGCAGTAGTGGTGAGGGGGCCTTGGGGTGCCTGTTCTGCACGGGATGAGTCACTCCTGGGTGAACGTGGGCGTGGCTGGCGAAGGTGGGTCTGCAGTTGTACCCTGGTCCTGGTGCCTGCGATGGAAGCATTAACTACTTCATTACTTGCTTTGTCTGAAATACTGTTTATTCACTGTCCAAAGCCTGTGGGTGCACTACAGCGTGCAGAGAGGAGGTCTGCAGGTACCTCAGCCTGCTGTTGGCGGGGCCTTGGAGACCGGCTCTGTTTTCCATAGTATCTGCTTGCCATTTGCCTTATTTGGCCTGTTCTGGTGAAATGCACGTGCACGCCTCCCACTAGTGGGCCAGTTCAGCTCTGTAAACATAGCTCCAGCAGTTAGATTTGCCTTTATTTAGTAGATGTGTCAGCGGTGGCTGATGAGGAACCCAGCTGTCAGACCTCCCTGTGGTTCTGGGAAGTGGTGAAGCCACGTGGGCAGGGGAGAAGAAAAGGATCTGTCAGGCTGTGGTCTTGTGCTAGCTAATGTTGACCTCTGTTGAATGTGGGGTCAGGAGACAGTGACTATACCAGCATCATGGGAGAGCTTCTTAGTGAACACCCAAGCTGGAGGGGGGGATCTGTTCAAGGGGGCTGCCATTAGTGTATTGGGAGGGAGGTGTTGCAGCACAAATGAGCTTGATAGGAGGCTTGACTTCTTTTCTGATTTCTTTAGCTTGTTCACGTTCCAAACTGTGTCTTGCAATCTGCTGTGAAGATCTTCCCTTTCAAGTCCCTCCGGCATCTGGAAGTAAGTAAAGGAGGCAGAACTGGCTTTGAGTCTTTCTGTTTGGCTTTTCTTGACTTAGTGTTGTGGTTGCAGAATGCCTCTACTCCTGGGTAGGCTTTTGTGCCTTCCCTAGAAGGCTGAGTCTAAACTCCTTCAACACTTGTTTGGGGTGAAGCTTGGATGTGAACAAAGGCTCGCGAGTGTTAGAGAGGGAATTTCCTTCCAGCAGGGAAATGGCAGATCCCTTGCAGAGACAGGCCTTACAGGCCTGGTAGCTTACACTGTAGTTTTACACTGTAATAATTTCTTTACACTCTGATATTTTGTTTTATGTTGTCCTTACTTTCTCATTGCTGCTGCAGTTGAGGTCTGTCCCTCCACACTGCCTCCGGGGACTGCGATTTGTCTATTCTCAGCTGGAATCTCTGACCTGTTGCAAATGTGTCAATACACTAGAGGTGAGTGTCTCTACGCAGCTCGTGGGGAAAATTGCAGGAGAAAGGCTGTCGTAATGCCACAACCCTTCACAAAGGGAAGACGTAGGAGGCAGTGTTAACCATTTTATCAATCCATGTTGTATATGACTTTTTCTCACTTCCCCTTTCTGAGGCCTTGCTCCAGATTCAAACAGTGTTGAAGTATTCCCTGGTTGGACGCACATGTGCTCTGTAGTCTCCTCTTTATCTGCTTGAGAATTCCTGGCTCTGGCCAGTATTACTATCAGCTAAGTCTGATGGTTCTATGTGTCTGGCTGTTTCCACATTCAAAGGCCTGCAGCTGATCAGGGTTTATGTGCTTAAATTGGAGCTGATTGTCAGAAGGAGTAATGTGCCCCAGTGTCTTGCGTGCACTGGTGCCCAGCCGGTTTCTGAGACATGAAGCTCCAGCTGCAGAGAACTGAACAATGTGGGCTGTACTAGCCGTAGGGCTCTGGGCTTCTGCCTGTGGCACAGAAACAGCTGCCTGCTGGGCACAGGGGCTGACAGCAGGGAGTGCTTTGAGGGCTTCTTTTGTCTGCCAGAGCACAGGTTGGCCAGGGTGTGTGTATCTTACTTCTGCTTTGATGGAGGTCTGAAAATTATTTTGTGAGTGTGAATCTTTATGCTTAGTGTTCAGGGGCTATGAATTGTAACATGTTGGGTTAACTATTGCCACTTGACTGTAGGAAGCAAAAGCATCTCCCCTTCATTCTAAATAGATAACTGTGGAATTCCCACAACCTCCAAATACTGGAATTAGTGACATGAAAGTCATTACCTCTCTAGGCAAGGCAGGGTCTGTAAGGCACAGCTAGCCTTGTTCTAGGCTAGCTGTTCTCCTGTTCGTTTACTGTTACTGTAACAGCTAGTACTCGCCAAAGAATGGCTCCTTGCTTCTTCCTAGGAAATCATTTCAGCATGTGGTGGAGATCTGAGCTGTGCTCTCCCGTGGTTGGAATTGCAGACTGTGAACTTCAGCTATAACTCCATCACTGCCTTGGATGACTCACTGGTGAGTGGAGCATCCTTCCTGTGTTACTGGGGGGAAAAGAGGAGATAATAATGGCCAGGAACTGGGCACTTCTTTACTGATGCTGCTAGATCTGTGTGGGAGGGAGTGACGAGTGTTAATTTTGCTGGCCTCTCCCAGCAGGACAGGGTTTCCATGCTGCAGTGGAGACATTTTTAGGACCTGATCTAATATCTTTTTGTCCTTCAGCAATTACTGAATGCTTTAAGAGTCTTGGATTTGAGTCACAACAAGATCCAGGACTGTGAGCACTATTTAACGGTGAGTGTCGTGGGCTGAGCACTGGAGTTTCCTCATATGGAGAGGACAGTGCTGAAGTGCTTTAACCATTGACCACGTGCCTGCTAGGTGAAGTACTACAAAATTGGAGATGTAGCCCAGCACGCACGTGATTTAGAGCTAGTGCTTGTTGTAGGTGCAGCCCCTGTGCCACTGCTCAGGGCAGAGAAGGGAGTGTTGCTCCTCTGCTCTGAGGCAGGAGAGCTCCTGTGTGCCTCACTGTGTGTGTCACCCGTGGCTCCGCGTGGCCGAGCGATAAATGCGGCGGCACGCACGGTGTGTGCTGGGCGTGCGGTCACACCTGCAGCGCCTGCTCCATTCTGGCCAGGACCTCGCTGTAGGCTGTGCAGCAGGTGGAATTGTGTAGCCAGGCGTGGGGCTGTAGAGACTTGCTGTTCACTTTGCCCAGACTGCCAGTAGGATTCCCTTCGTGCTCTCGGAAGTCTCCTGTTAGTTACTTGAGAAAGGTGGTGGTCCCTAGGGGTTAGCAATGAAATCTGTGCTCGAGTGGATTGAATCTGCTTCTTTTAAGAGAAGCTATGAAACAGCTGTTCATGGGCTTGGTGGGGGTCACAGTGTATCATTCACCATCATCTTTGTAAAGGTAAGAAAGGACTTCACTTGGTAGTTCCATCCTTTTGCTGAGGCAGGTGATCTAGTCCTTTCCTGTTGCTGAAGTTGTTGAGGCAGGAGAAAGCTGCTCCTAGTAAATTTTGTAAAGCAGAACATGCTGAGCACCCCTAGACAAACCACTCAAAATGTTAATGGCAAAGTATTGCTGCAGAAGTAGTCTTAAGAAACTCACTTGTTGGTTGACCTTTGTGGTATGGAAAAAATGGCAGGGGTGAGCGCCCTGTCTCGAGCTGAGGGTCAGGCTTTGTGCTAAGGTCCTAACTGATCCATTGCTCCTCTTCTCTCTGAACAGACCCTTACAGAGCTAGAGTACCTCAATCTGGCTTATAACTTCCTGTCCAAGGTGCCAAACCTTGGCATCTTCAGCCGGTCCAAGCTGGTGACTCTGATCCTGCGCAACAACGAGCTTGACAGCATTAATGGTGAGCCCATGAGGGAGGAGCATTTATGAGTTTGAGACCTTTTTCTCCTACTCGAGGAGGAACAGAACTGGAAATCTTGAGCACAGTTATTTTTACTAGGATGCAGTTTGGGGGAAGGAGGGTAGGTTGGAATTTCCTAAGTTACACTTTCTAGCATGCTGATGGCTCCTTGCTTTGTTTGCAGGGGTTGAACTGCTTTTGAATCTGCAGCATCTGGATGTGGCCTATAACCTGCTGCTGGAACATGATCAGTTGGCACCATTGTCCACTCTGCACTGTGTAAAAAAAGTAAGCACAAAGCCTGATGGGTTGATAGATTAAAGATATCCTGGTTAGGGGGTGCAAGGTGGAGACTATGTGGTAAAAAAAGAGTTTTGAAAGACAGTTTAACTCTTGAGCTCTTAATTGTAGTGTAGGAAGCTGATATGGGCCCCTTGGAGGCACCTGTATTCAGCCTTCATTTTGACTTCTGCTGAAGCTGACCTTTTTCCATATTCATCCCCTCCTCCTTGCTCTTCCTTTTCAATTTTAACACTGTTGAGATCAGTAAAAATCCTCCCCTAATCCTGTTGTGGATTGTGTGTTCAGAGAAGTCTGAAGGAGGAAAACTGAAGTCATTGTGGTGCTTGTGAAGGAAGATAGCCTGCAAAGGACAGTTCTGTCAACACTTCTCAGAGTCAGTACTGAAAAAGCACTTAATGATTTAGAGGCATGAGTCGGAAGTACTTTAATTTTCTCCTCTATTTGCTGAACAAATTTCAGGAAGCTTTGTAAAGCCGTAGTCCCCTCCTGGCTTGATCACTGTTCCATTCCAAGGAAATTTCCTGAGGCAGAGAGAAAACCTGGACCCTTCAGGCAGAATAGGTCAGTGTATAGAATACTGCTTCTAAAGACGGTTTCTCTATTTCCTCCATCCAGCTGCATTTAGAGGGAAACCCATTATGGTTCCATGAAAACCACCGATCCGCAACCCTTGTACATCTGTCTCCCAGGGCAGCCTCTTCCAGTGTGAGTATCAGCCATGTGCCTTCTGCCTCTGCTGTTGAAGGCTTTGGGTGTTCTGACACTCAGGGGAAAATGTGGGGAAAGAATTTCATAAGCCTAAAAATTTATCCCAGTGGTGTAACAGTGGTGATTGGTTTTTGTTTTGTTTTTTAACATGTAGAATCGTTTATCCTTAAAATTTTATGTGGTGTGCTGCCCAGGGTGGACAGAGTTGAATAGTGATCTCGGGTTCGCAAGACCGCAGATCTTAATACATCTTCACTGTCTACTTCATCAGTTTTCCTCACTGATGGTCCTAAAACATTCCTCTTTTTCTGCTAGATAGTGACTATGTAGCTGGGCTTTGCAAAGAAGGAGGTCACTGTCTTGGCCCACCTTTCCTAATTGCCTACTACTTTGGCAGCCCTGGCCACCTCTGTCTTTCTCCCCATCATTCTGGTCTCAATTAGGTGTTGTCACTGTTTCCCTTGTGCTCTGGTGCTTAGGTCAGTTCTTGGTAATCTGATTTTAAATAAAGAAGTCAGCAAAGAGAGCACTCTGGCAATTTAGCAAAGTGAACTTGCTTGCTGAAGGTCAGAGGTGTTCCAAAGCTGGTTTACCCTTTGTGCTACTGACATGGATGGATTCAGTGTCTCCAAACTGCATCTTGGAACAAGCTTTCACTGAGCTGGAGTTGCTGGAAGCTAGGTAGACTCAGGCTAGAAGTACAGTACAGGCTTTGAGGTGAAAGTGAGTACCTTTCAAAACAATTTGCACATTGTTGCAGCATAATTTATTGTATTTCTTCTGCGAACTCTTGGATACGTTTCTGGGAGTCATAAAGTCTGTAAACAGGAAAACCACAGTGATCCCTTCTGGCCTTAAATGCTTTTAGGTCAAGTAACTACAGCTAAGGGAGTGATGGATAGGCAGGAACAGGATTGTTTCTGGTAGTCTTTGCAGTTTTGTGCCAAGGATCCCAGCCTTAGGGTGGTCTGAACAGGGGCAGGAGTCAGCAGATGTTGTCCTGAGTATGTGCCAGCCAAATGGAATCTGACTACAAATGGGTCTCTAATTACAGTTCCTCTTGGATGGGCAGCCACTCTCTTCCTCAGACCTAATGGTAAGTACAGGTGCTGTAAACTGATCCTACTGGCTTTGGGAGCGGGAACTATTAACATGTTTTTGCATTGTCATGTGTCCCATGAAATGTGTTTAAGGGCTGCCTTGACTCTCTGACACAGTTCATTTTGGCTTGGTCCATGCTGATTCCTAGTGACCATTGGGACTGGCCAGTGTAACTTTTTCCATCCTATGTGGTTTTGCAGAACTTGGAGGCTTGCCTGTTTCCTCTTCAGGTATTTTCTGGCACTTGACACTTAATTTACAAATCAGCAAAACAAACAGTTACAGTTTCCCATCTGCTGTTTTTAAGAAAGGCAGAGAGTGAGTTAAATCCAAGTGGTCGTGATAAACAGTCCAGTCAACTAGGCAGCATCTGTTGTCACCACTTGGAGATGATAAACGTTTTGGGGTGATGGGCAGGGAAGTTGTCAGCCTGAGTTATGGCTTGGCTACCGTGTCTCCTCTTCGCACTCAGCAGGCACCATTCTCTTCTTTTGGCTTTTAAGCACCTCCCAACACTTGTGCAAAGTGTGTCACAATCCATCCACACTTCTACCTCAGACAAGACCGCACTGGACCGCAGTGCTCTCGACAGTTCCTGTGCTGCAGACTTCAGTGACAGTCAGTCCCCAGCAGAGAACGTGGCTGTCAGGCTCCCTCGGAAGAAAAGCAAGGTTTGGGACTGAGACAGCTTCTTAATGATGTAGCTGGCACGTTGGGTGGAGGGTCTGCCTCGACATAAAAGCTTCATGCAGTGAGATGTGGTCGTGTGCTGACTGTGTGGCAGTGAGCCTCTACGCTGCTGTGTGTTAGGAAGGGGCTAGGCTTAATATCGGTCTTGATGTACTGTCACAGATGTTGCATGGTGTGTTTCTGCACTGTAACAGCTATGAAGTCTTCAGCTTGGCAGAACCCCTCATTAGATGCTGTTTTGGTTGTTCTGGTGCCTCCAAACTATTCTTATCCTGTTTGTTCCAGGGAAAAGTCAAAGTGCGCCGAGCGAGCATTTCGGAGCCCAGTGACACAGAACATGAGCCCCAGGCTTTATCTCTCTCTGCTGGTGAGGCTTGTCTTCTTCCTCAGTAACACAGCAGCTCAACTGCCCATGAGCAGAGGAATACTCTGGCGTGGTGACTGTTTTCATGCTTCCAAAGATTTCTGTCTGCAGGCCTGGTTTTACAGCATCAGAAGGAGATGAAGCGCTTGGACAGCTTCAGAGATCGGTTTGGTGTTGACTGGCTGCAGTACAAGAGACACCTGGAGGAGCCTGACCAAGTACCTGTCATCTGCCGTAGCCGTTCTGCAGATGAGATCACAGGCAGACCTGCTGCAACAGACTTGCAGAGTGAGAGCTCTGACCCAGAGCAAGAAAAACACCAAGTATCCCAGGAAGAATCTTCTCCTCCTTTGGATGATACTGAGAAGGAGGAAGAGCCTGAAGTACAGCTGGATGAGCCTGTGGAAGGAGAACAGAGAGGGGAAGAGGAGGCAGATGAGCTAATGCTGGGAGAGGAAGAAGAGGAGAAACCAGAAGGTAAACAGGTCTTTTCACTGCTGTGCTTGCAGGCTTGGGCGAGGATAGAATGTCCTCCTAGAAGAAATGCTAAGGCATGTGTAGGACAGCAGAGTAATTCAGGACAGTCAGCACGGCTTTACCAGGGGCAAGTCCTGCCCACAATCTGGTGGCTTTCTATAATAAAGCAACTGCATTGGTGGACAAGGGAAGAGCTGTGGATGTCATCTCTCTTGACTTTGCCAAGGCCTTTGACACTGTTCCCCATGGCATCCTCATTTCTGAGTTGGAGAGATAGGAGTTCGATGGGTGGACTGTTCAGTGGATAAGAAACTGACTGGACCATTGCACCCAGAGAGTAGTGGTCAATGA